CATAACAAGATCTGTCTCTACAAAAAACAACAACAACAACAACAACAACAAAAAGAAACAGAAATTAGCCAGGTAGTCCCAGTTACTTGGGAGGCTGAGGTAGGAGGATCAATTGAGCCTGGGAGGTCAAGGAGGCAGTGAGCTGTGATTGTGCCACTGCACTCCAGCCTAGGTGAGACAGAGAGACCCTGTCTCAAAAAAAAAAAAAAAAAAAAAGAAGTGACATTTTGAAGAGGTTGAGCTGGGTGCCTGTGAGATTCTAAGAAGAGGTGAGCATCAGGAATAATAATGTCACTAACTCACATTTATTTAGCCCTGTATTACATGTACTACAGGCCAGGCCTTCCTTTAAGCACACAAACTGGATGATCTCACCAGGAGGTAACTGAATAGATGGGCCTGAAGCTCAGAAGAGAGGTTTGGGCTGGAGACAGGAGTTGAGAGACTAAATTAGGTCTAAACTCAGGGTCCAGACAGGCAATGTAAAGAGTTGAAGCTGGCTGGGTGTGACCCAGTTGTGGTGGGCCTGTGGTGCACTGGCCAGCAAATACCAGTCTGACACCAGACAAATTAGGACTTTAAAAAAATAATGGGCAGAGTGAATAAAACTCAGCATGGCCTGCCTCGGTTTGCCTTGTGGGCCTCCAGTTCGTGACATCTGGGACAGACGGCCATCAAACCATGAGGGAGAGAGACACTGCCCAGGAGAGAAGATAGGAGGGGATGATGAACTTGAGCCCAGAGTTTCAACCTTCCACACAGAAAATTGGCTCTGAATATAAGTTCCCAATGGGTTTCCTGGGATGTAACAAGTGACTGATAAAGTGTCTGATTCTGATGCTGCCTAATTGTCATAGGAGGTGAATTCCTATCTTCATGCTTTCTTACCCCTGATTTAGTGTATGCTAGAATAAGGGAATGTTAGATGTGAAAGACAGGTGCCTTGGGGATCATCTGGGACAGGGGCTTTCTACACTGATGTGGATCAGAATCTCCTAGGGAAACAGTTAAACCTACAGATCCCAGCATCATCCTGCCAGGCCTTCCGAATCAACCCACACAGAGGGGTCCAGGCATCTTTATTTTTACCAGCTCCCCAGGTGATTCTGATGTACACACCTGAGCATAAGACATTCTTGTCTAGCGCTACCCCTCAGATAGGGAAACAGCTTAGAGAGATGAAATCAGTTGCTCACAGTCATGCTGCCAGAAAGCGGCAAGATTGGGGCCCACCACAGTGATTCACATCTATAATCCCAGCACTTTGGTAGGCCATGGTGGGAGAGAGAATAGCTTGAGCCCAGGAGTCCGAGACCAGCCTGGGCAACAGGGCGAGACCCCATCTCCACAAAAAAATTTAAAAATTAGCCTAGCATGTGCCTGTAGTCCCAACTACTCAGGAGGCCAAGGCAGGAGGATCACTTGAGCCCAGGAGTTGAAGGTTGCTGTAAGCTATGATCACCCCACTGTGCTCTAGCCAGGGTGACTAAGCAAGACTCTGTTGAGGGAAGGAGGGAAGGAGGGAAGGGAGGGAGGGAGGGAGGGAGGAAGGAAGGAAGGAGAAAACAAGAAGATAAAATATTTAATTATTTTTATGGGAATGGTAACATTTATGGAGCACCTATTCCACCTAAAGGGCATATTCACATTTGTTATTTCATTTAATGCTCACAAACCCCAACTAAATGAGTATTATTAAGCTTCATTTTTACAAAAGAGGAAATTAAACATCCAGAGAGATTAAGTAATTGCTGCCAGGCACATAACCAGTCAGTTTGATTCTAAAATTCATGTTCTGTCCTTTGTTTCTTTTTGCCCTCATAATAATTTCAGCCCTTCTCTGAGAAGGAGCATGTTTCCATTAAAGTAAGAATGACAGGCAGAGCTATCTGAAAGAAAAAAAAATTAGAAAGAGTTGCTTCAGAAGGTGGCAAGTTAAAAGCAGTCAAGCCGAGGCTTTCAACCAGTTAGCTGTTCAACGAGCATTTACTGACAATCCCTGTGCTAAGCACCTGGAATAGAGAAATCAAAGCAAAAGGATACCTCAAGGCACCAACTGTTTAGTGAGGGAGACAAATGAGTAAAAAGACCTCCACACCAGCTTCAGATAGGGTTTACTGCTAGGGAGGTTGGTTTGCCTTGTGGGCCTCAGTTCGTGCCATCTCTGGGACGACGGGCCATAACATGAGGGGAGCAGGACCACTGCCGGAGAGCAAGATGAGGCGATGCATGAACTGCGCCAGAGTTTCAGACTTACACACGCGGGAATTGGTCTGATATTAATTCCAATGGGTCTTCCTTGGATGTAACAAGCCCGTGACTGTAAAGTGCTTATTCTGATGACCCTGCCTCATTGTCATAGAGGTGAACTTCTCATTCATGCTTTTTACCCCGGATTTAGATTGTAAGTGCTAGATAAGATCGTTAGATGTGGAAGAGGGTGCGCCTTGGGTATTGGGACAGGTTTCCCTAATTGATGTGGATCAGACTCTCGTGCCCGGAAACAGTTAAACCTAAGATCCCGCATTCATCTGCAGGCCTTCCGATCACTCAGAGGTCCAGCGCGTCTTTATTTTTACCCAGCTCCCAGGTGATTTGATGTACCACACCTGAGCATAAGGACATTCTTGTTAGCGCTCCCTCCACGATAGGCGAAACGCCCGCCTTAGGAGGATGAAATCAGCTGTCACAGATCATGTGGCCAGAGCACGGGCAAGATTGCCCGGCCCCGTGATTCACACTGCTCCAATCCGAGCATTTGGCACTGGCATGGGTGGAGCGCGAAACTCGCCTCTGCGCGCCCAGGAGTCGCGGACCGCACTGCCCCTTCTCGGCAACAGGCGAGAACCCATCTCCACAAAAAATTTAAAAATTAGCAACATAAGCAATAGTGATCCTGTAGTCCAAACCCTACTCAGGGGCAGGCAGGAGGATCATTGAGCCAGGTGATTGAAGGTTGCTGTCAAAGCCTCATGATACCCAGCTGTCGCTCTAGCCAGGGTGACTAAGCAGGACTCTGTTAGGACGGGAAGGAGGAGGAAGGGAAGGTAGAGGAATGAGAGGGAGGGAAGGGCAGGCGACGGGAGAGGAGGCAGAGTGGAGAGAAAGAACGAGACAATACAGAAGAGAAAGAGAGCGAA